TAATATAAAACTCATATTCTGGCGAAATAGCCATATGGCGGCCGAAAACCGTATATTCCCTTCTTGTTCTCCAGCCCGTTCGTGCATTCTTTCCAAAAATCGGGACTTTTGTAAAACGCCCCGGGATGAGGGACAAATTGCTGAAAAGCGGGACTGTCCCGCCAAAATCGGGAGGTCTGGTCACCCTATATATTCTGCCACAATAATAAAAAAGAACTCACCTTTGAAGCTGCCGATGTACAGGCCCGGCAGGATCTAGGGGAGAGACACAGACATGAGTGCTGCAGACCTCAGGGGCCCTCGCCCAAGGTCCCCACCATCCCAGCCATACCCATGTCCCTGCACATCCCTGGAGGGAGGGCACAGGTAGCTCAGCATCCTTGTCCAGGCTCACACCTACCCACAGCTACTAGGAAGCCCACACAAATGGCCTGCTGGTGCCCATCAGCTTACAGAGTTGAAGATCCCCTCCACTCTGCCTATCTCTTAACTCTTTCAGCCCTAGAAGCCCTGCTTTCAACATGCTGGGTCCATTGCCCAACAGCTATGTCCCACCTGCCCCCTTCGTCTCTCTGGCTCTTTCCCCCTCCCTTCTAGGGGAGGCCATCCTGATCCCTGAATCTGGGGTCAGCCTTGGCTCATTGCCTACAGCCCTCCATGCCCCTCCATCTGACTTGAGAACCACTGCCTTAGAAGAAGACAATTCATTTCAAATTGTCTACTTCTAAGGCAATGGTTCTCAAGTCAGACTACCCATCAGAAGCCCAATCCAGCAAGTTCCCTCTCTCCAGCCCCCATACTGAATGATTCAGCAGATCTGAGATGAGAACCAGGCACAGTACTTTTTACAAGCATATCATCACTTGCAAAATGCAAAGCCAGTTCTCATCCTGCCAGTAGTTTGTGTGAACACTCTGAAATCCAAATGTGGACACTGCACTTGCTATGTTCACCCTTGATGGGATTTCCAAGAACATACAGAAGGCAGGTTCTGGTGACAATAGATCCCTGAAGCCCTGGTCATGGCCTCCTTTCATCACCACTCCCACCCTGTCAGCTCCACTATTTTGGTCTATGCCCACTGAGAAGTCATAAGCAGCCTGTATTAAAGGGCTTCACGTGCACTGATTTCTTCAAGCATCTCCTCAATCACCAGCTGCCTTGGAAGACTGACAGCTTGTGTCCGGTCACTGCAAGGATCTGTTGTGGCCTGTCAGGACAGCAATATCAGGCCCAGAGACAGCCTCTGTGCAAAGGACACCCAAGCCCAGGGGCTATATATTTACCAACATGGCACACTCTGAGAAGGAAAAGAGTTACTATTAATTACTCCAGGACAACGGGCAAAACCCAGGAGTGACCTGGGCACCGGGCTGAGCCATCACGGTGGCTGTCTCAATACCCAGGGGTACAAAATTAGCTTGGGGGGTGCCCTATGGGGCTGTGAGGTCAGCTATGTCTGTGATTGAAGTCACAGGCAGAGGCAGGCAGGTTACTCTGTAACCAGAAGCACGTGAAACATTGTCTCAGAGGAAAACACCAGCATCCCCTGTGAAGGAGCTACAGCATTTGACAGATCTTTCTTGAAATAGAATCAGCTTTTAGGATTCTCCTGGGAGGAAGGGTGGTGGTGCTGGTACTTCATCATTCCTGTTTTAAAACATGCGAACAATGCAAGTTCATCTTGGAGATGGCTCAAACTGTTGTTCACTGGCAGCTCGTGCTGCAAGGGGCTTTTCCACATGGAATCTCCATTCTCCAGGGTAGGTCCTATCTTTATCAGGATGTGCCATGAGACACTAAAGACCATACATCAATGGCTCTTCTGGCTTTTGATGGTGACAAAGACTCCCTCTTTGATCAAACTGAGGATACTTCTGAGTCCTTTCCTCATGGAGGCCTTGTCCTTGGCCTACTGAGTCCTGCTAAGCCAGTTTAGCAGGATTGGATCCCTCAATCCTTGATACCCCATCAAGCTCCTCTTACCCCACCCTTGACATCGCATCAGGTTCCCCTGGTAACCTTCCCCCTACTCCTTCACCCTGCCTGTTGCTTTTTAATTCCCACTTGCCACTGCTATACTTCCTAGTCAAGACCAATCTTTCCCCTGTTGCCTAGTCTTGAATAAATATTTTTTTTTTGCCATTTTAAACAAGAACTTTCCTTTTATAGCAATAATTGCAAACAGCTCTGTATCTGCTACAGCTGCATGTAGGACTCAAGTGCAACACATCTCTCTCTATCTCTGCTGCAGACTAGAATCCAGAGACAACCTAGAGTGTCCCCTTTGGCAGCCAGAGGCAGTGGGGCTGGCAGCACATCTAGTGCCTGCTGGCCATAGCCTTTACTTCTTGAGGCAGCCCCAGAAATGCTCTCACCTGACTGGTTTATGGGATTTGCTCCTGGCAGGGTATACCCTGAGTCTGGCTCTCCAGCCTTCCTGACTATCTGTACTGTTCTAGCTTAAGTAGCTACATTTGATTCTGTTGCTTACAACCAAGGACCCTAATGTTGGCTTTCAATCAGGAAAAAAATGCACATATGCAGAAGAGTGGCACAGACCTTGAGGCAAGTCCCAAGCACAACTTTCCCCTTCCCACCCTGCCTCTGCCAACAAGACCAAACTGTCCTGCTGGGACCCCTCAACCAGGAACCACCTGGAGAGCACGCTGACAAAGACCCCCACCTGCCTCTGCCTGCCCTTGTCTGGACTCCATCATGCCTCAGTTGGCATCCGCTTCCACTCCAATTCATAATATTTGCCCCTGTTCAAATTTTAGTGTATCTTTGTCCACTTCTTAGCATCTTCCCTCTGAATCATTGTGACAGTCAGCTAGTGGTCTCCTCACATCCAGACATATCCCTCCAATTATTCCTTAAACCATCTCAAGATGCAGTGTGGATCATGTGACTCATTAGCTTACATCCTCTTAGGATTTAATGGTGCTCTCAGCATGAGGCCCACATTCTACACTTGGGCAGGTGAGACCTTCCAGGAGTGAGCCAATTTACGCCTGCAGCCTCAGCCCCAAGCGCCTTCCCCAACTTCACCTATATCTGAGGTGTCTGCCATGGTATCCATGCAGAGACATAAGCCAGGGCTTCCCAATCCTAGAATACAGCTTTTACAGGAAACTACAAATTTTCAATACTGTCAAGTAAATTTTTAAAAATAACTTAAATACTACGATCAACAACTAAAACGCATCTGTAGGCCAACTGTGACCTCTTTCTGCAGTCTGTGTTCTATTTGTAAATACATCTTTTTCTAAACTTGATTGGTTCTCCCTTGGGAGGGGACTCAAATGCTTCTTCAATGAATGAATGAACAGACAATGTGAACAAGGTAGGAGGAAAAGAGACATTAAAAAATGATGGCGAGCAGAGCCCGATGCAAGCTTTGCCAGAGAGACCAAACATTGGCCCTCTGTGCCCCCAGTGAGTTTCCATGTGGGAAACAGTGCCTGGCAGCACTGAGGAAAGGGCTGTCATGCAGTCAGAGCAGCCACCGATGGGAAAGAGAGTCCAACCTAAGGAGGCATCTTAACCAAAAGAAATATAGGGTGTGTGTATTACGCATGCATTTTAAATACTTTAAGTGATGAAGAAAGAGGACAAGAGTTGTGTCAGTCAACTTTTAACTTCATTTTTCAGACCAGGAGATTGCACTAGAGTTTCAAGGGCAAGAAATAGAAAACAAGATTATTCAATCCCTGTGTCATAGTCAGACCGTGATTCTCTTCCATGTAGAATTACAAAACAAGACCAAGAAGGGCTGGTTTCAAGGAGACCAAAGGCCCATGAATATGTAAACTTCCACACTAGCCAGCTTTGTAATTCAAAATTTCTGACTCATCTACTTTCGTGGTACTACGTATTATTGTTGCTGGTAATTCCTGAGTATAGAAAAAGAGAAAATAAAATAGAATAAGATAATTGTCTGGCAGAGAGATGGTTTACAGAGGAGACAGGGAAGAATGAGCGCTCATCTGGTATCTGATTGACCAGCCTGTTCACATAGAACATAGCAGAAGTGAAATCCCACTCTGGTAGGAAGCAAGGCTGGGTCAGGAAAAGTCAGTAAATGCAAGCTGGGAATGCGAGTAAGCACAGAATTAGTCCTAATCATCTTTGGGCCTTTCTTTCTTTCTTTCCTGCCACTGAGGACATTCTTCCCCCGCTGTTCACCTGGCTGGTTCCTTGTCCTCAGGTCTCCCACAGGTGACATTTCTAGGCAGGTTTCTTGGGACCACCAAACTCCCAAACACCCTCATATCACTTTGTTTTATTTTCTTCATTTGCCAGTACCTAATATGGTCTTATTTACTTTCTGCTTGTCCTGAAGAAGGAGGTGCATCTGTCTTGTTCCCTGATGTGTCTCAAAAGCCTGCCCCGAAGTCTGGCAAATGAAGGTATAATCAGCGAATAAACCAGGATGAAACAGCAACAAACCACAGAGGTAGATGTTCCCTGGCATTCTGCCCATCAGAAAGATTCCCAATTTCTGTTAACAAGACTATCTGAGCATAGATAATAAAGGAAGAATCCTTCTGCAGAAATACAGAGAGATCATACAAAAGATTCTCTATGGTGAGGGCTCCTCTTGGCCCCTAATACCCTTCACACTCACAAGTTATACTGTGCTAACTCTGGCAACACAGAAATGCAAAAAAACAAACCCTCGGCCACAAATATGTACTTAAGCACAAAAGAATACTGCGTCTAAGGCAGGAAATAGTTTGAGTTTATTTTTTAAACATTCCTCTTAGTACTTCAGGATGTCATGGAAGCTAAGAGCCCCACCCAAACAGGCGTAAGAGATGAACTCCTGGTTAAGCAATACCACGAGGCCCTGTGTACGACGGTGGGGGTAGGGGGAATAGAATCTTAACTCTTTTAGGTCAGAAAGGACCTTCTGGGTTTCAAGGCCAGAGATGAAGGGGAAACTCTGGTGGATTCCCTGAAGGGTTAAATGTCACAAAGACTTTCTTAATGCCATTTGGTCATGGATTTAACCAGGTTGCACATAAAAAGGGAAGCAGCTGAGAATACTCTTGTGCCCATGGAATGTTGCCTTGCCTATGTATTCTTCCAATGTGAAATCCAAATGTATCATTAAAAGGAGAAAAGAGAAGACGTTCAGGGAGTGCAGTGGAGGAGGGAAGACAGAGACCCCAGCATACAACCATCTGTCAGTCAGCCCTGCAGCCATCGGTGGCTGTGTTCACCCTGCAGGGGCTCTTTTGTAAACTGCCTAGGCCTAAATTCATATTTATGACCCATTACAGGATCTAATGCAGCGCCTCGACAATAGTAGGTATTCAATACTATAATTGGATGAACGGGTAAATGGACAGCTGAATGAATTATGAGGGCAGCTAAGTCTCCTACAGCCAAGTAGAAACAGCAGCATTCAGGAGCACAAAGCTGCCTGTTCCAACCCCTTCCCATTCTAAATGTGATTCTCAACTTTTTAAGCCCTATTCCACCTTTTGATAACTACCCATGAACAGATCACATAGGCTTTGGGAGATTCTGAGATGAAGAACCCAAGACCAGTGGTTCTCAACTAGGGATGATATTTCCCCCAAGGGGTTATGTGTCAAAGTCCAGAGGTATTTCTGGTTGTCACAATGTGGAGAGGGATGCTACCTATGTCTACTGGGTAAAGGGCTGGCATGTTGCTAAACCATAGTTTCCACAAGAAATAACTGCATAGCCCAAAATATCAACAGTGCCAAGGTTGAGGAACCTTGGTCTATGCCTAGTGGGCACATACTCCCCTGGAACCATAATCCTCTCTCAACTAAACTCCCTTATCTTCCTAAGGAGGAGAGAGCCATCCTAAAATAGGTGTCAGCCAAATCCAAAGCAGATGTCATCACTGCCACAGTTGTAGGGACAAATCCAAGAACACTAGCGACAGAGTATATTCATACTCTACACAGTTTAGAAAAATGTCTTCTAATAAATTCTTGGTTGTTTCTCCCAAGAACCTGAGTTGTCCTTGGGGAAGGTATTATACTCATTCTAGAGCCAAAAAGGAGACCACAATAGCTAATCACTGAAGGTCTTTTAGATCTAAACATTTATGAATTCAGGGAGATAAAGAAACTGAAGCTCAACAACATGAAGTGACATGTTCAAGGTCACATCCAAGAAGTAGCAGAGTGGCAAAGATACCCCAAATCAGGCTTTTCAATAACCTCTCCCCACAGCAACAGTGGGGTTCTTGGGGAAAAGTGATGTGTCAGCTGAGGTATCTGCCTTCCGCGACCATTAGTGAGCTTCCCATGAAATACTGGGAAGCCGGCTATTCCCACCAGACATGATGCTTTCTGAGGACAGAAAGCAGGGAGGAAGGACAAGGCTACAAGGCCAGGTAGTGAGATGTTCGATGAGCTGATCCAACCCTGGCAGTCAGTGAAGGGCAACATTATCAGAGCCAGAGGGTCTTCATCCTGCTGTAGGGTTGCAAGGCTTCAGCCCATTTTTAGGTTATCAAGATAGATTTGCACAGAAGCATCTGGAGCCACTTTCTCTGACATGATGCTTGGCTAAAGAAACTAGTTTGTTTTTAATGGGGATATTATAGCCCCTAAAAACCTGGGGGTTTAGACTCTTGAGAAAACTTTGCCTCAACTAGTAGTTTTCAAAGGCTCCAGAGAAACATGACATCTGCATATAGCAGCCTGTTTAATCTAACCTTACCAGAGACACTAGCTAGACTGATCTCTTAGCAGCACGGTATAGCTCTCTGCGTGGTACGTGAGCCACACCAGCAGGGTTACCTTGGGCAGCTCCCTTAACCTCTGTCCACATCACCTGTTAAACAGGTTATGGTAAGGAGCAGACGAGTTACTCTGCTTGGAGTTCTCAAGACAAGGCGGGCACACCATAAGCTCTTTGGAGATTATACTTTTAACCAGCTCAGGGCAGCTACTGGGAGATTACACAAAAGCAATGAAAAGATAATTTGGCTGCCTCCCTTTGACCCTTCTTTATCAGTGTCAAACATGAAGGAAGAGAGGAAGTGATTATATTTATTTTATAATTAATCTGAAACTATGGGGAGCTTTACAGTTAGTTTTTAGGGACTTTAGAATTTACTTGGGATGAACTGACATCACAGCCCAAAGGAAAGACTTATACTATTTTCAAAATCAATGGGAACTGGAGTCCAAACCCAATTCTGCCATTCCTAGCATTAGGAACCTTAGTCATGCTACCTAACCTTTCTCAGTCTCCATTTCCCAATCTGTATAAAGAGAATAAAGCAGTCTGATCTCACAAGGCTATAGTGAGGCTTAGATTTTATAAAGAGCAAGCAATGATATGAGGCTCATGAAATAATAGCTCACAACTTCTGTGTTGCATTCTCTATTTCCTCATCATCTTTACTTGGCCAGAACATAGAAGCCTCTTTCCTCTGCATTCTCTGTGCAAAGTGCTGTGAACGGCACCTGAGATTGGCTTAACATTCCACCTTATAAGACACTGGGACATAGTGAGAAGAAGATCCACCATGAAGACATAAAATATAAATAAAAACTACTATCCTCAAAGCAGGCAGAATGGAATCTGCATTGTTCAGTTCCTAAATTTTCTCTTGCCAAGGATCACCAATTTGTATGACATTAGACAGAAATCTTGTCCCAGTAACCTCAGGGTACACACAATCCAAGTTGTTTTTAGTTCTAAAGGCACTGCATGTTTTCACTTAGAAATAAATATTCTGAGAAAAGCATCTCTTTGGTTAGCACCTATCACTGATCTTGCAAATCAACAATTCTTTCCTTGAAAATTAATTTCACCTTTTTTTCAATGTGACTACTAGAAAACTTTAAATTACACATATGGCTCATGTAAGATAAGTGCTAGTCTATTCAGAGGGTTCTGTGAAGGACCTTTGTGTTATTTACCACTGTATTCCCCCCCCAAAACTGCTCCCAAATACACAACAACCTGGTTCATTGTCAGTACCTAAATGTGTTACATCAATGAAGTCTCTACGTCTCTCTGTACAGATGTTTTTCCATTTCTACTCTGGAAATAATGTGTCTACTTACAATACAAGATAACTGTGATACTAAAATAGTCAAGAATGTATTACTCACTTTGAAAGGTAAAAAATATGATATGAATATTACTGCTTTTAGCGAAAAGCATGCAATTAATCTTGATCCCTTGGGCAATCCTCTGAATTCCTAAATATATTTTTTAAATTATAATATAAAAATACTATAAATTAAATACCAAAAGAAGTTCACAGTGAACAACTCAAGAGGGAAAATGGGAGAAACGACCAATGGACACCTTAAGCGTAACCACACTCAAAGGAAAAGCAAAGGGAGCCCATAAACTTGTGATGAACATCTTTATTGTTCTAATTTTAAAAAGCAGAAGGTGTGTGGCTCATGGTGTTAATGGATTCCAGTGCTAATGGGAATATAATGCAAGTATTTATATGAGAGAGTCTGTTTCCCAACTTGATCACTGGCCCAAAAATAAATAAATAAATAAAATTTTGGTTACCAAATACACCAATAAGTGACATGCGGGCCCCCAAACACAATAGTTCTTTCATAAACTGGGTCTTCCGGGATAGGATAAACATGACATGGGCAGGTGAAAAGAATCACAAGGTACACAGGATTTCCCCACTGCATTTTTCCTTCCCTAATCGTTGATTCTCCACCCCCAACCCTCCTGCTGAAGGAACCAAACCACTGCTGACCCCAATGCTAAGACAAATAGAAGACCTACCAAATAGGGGGGCCGAATGTATGTGCAGATGTGGGTGGGTGGGACACAAAAGAAAAGAGCAGCAGAAAGCCAGAGACAAATCTTGCCTTTTTTGAAGGCTTTTAAAAAAGTCTTGTAAGTCTTTCCTTTAAACCAGTGAGTACCAAATCACAAAATCCTTAACCTTGTGGTTCACATGAATACACCCCAAGTAACTCTCAAAGGCAGGAGTTAAGGCACCCTCCCTCCACAAGAAAGACAAACGCTGCACCACAGCCTACCAAGGGGATGTGGGGAGACTGGGGAACAAAGGGGGGCCAGGACAGGGGCAAAGAGAGTTACACAGTTACAAGCATTCAGTCAACAGGTTGCCCTTGTAGCAGAAGCCACATTACCTAAGATAAATCAACTCTGAATCTATTCTCTCACCCCGGTTATTTAAAAACAGCCCAGGTCTCTTGTCAATTTCTCTGTCCTCAAGAACTTATTTGTCTGTGTGTGTAGAAAGAGGAAATTACAGAAGACACCCATCTATGCCAGTTCACTAATGATGTGGGTGGTGATGCTTCAAGAGTCTAGTTTGGGAGCGAAGGGGAAGGGAAAAGAGAAGAAACCACACACATTCCGAGCTCAGCTGAGATCTCGGCAGAACAAGTGTCAACGCTTTTAAAGGGCACGGCTTGTTTCAGCCACAAGACTCGCCGGCTGGCAAGAAGTGGGGGAAGTGCTGCTCCCCGGAAGCAGGTGGTGGGGGTGGGGACACCTCCAGCATCGACTTGGGCGCCGCGCCCCCAGCCGCAGTGAGGTGCAACCTGCGCCCGGACAGCCGTGCTGCGGAGCGGGCGAAACGGTGGGCAGCGACTGCCCCAGCGTCGGAGCGCGGGGCCGGAGCGCCCACGCACCGGCCGGAGAGGCAAGTGCAAACCCGGCACAAATGACGGAAAAACACGTTACCTTGTTCATCCCATTCCCCATGGTGGCTGGCTGCGAACTCTAGCGCCCTTGGAAATGTGGTCGCAGGCTCGCTAATGGCATGTTACAACAGGAGGGAGGAGCAGGTGGGGCGGGCAGGGGAGGCGGCGCTCGGGAAGGATTGAATGCTCCGGGTGTAAACAACCACCCCCACCACAATCATCATCATCGGGGGCGGTCCCGGTGACTGGGAGCGCTCCGGGAAGCCAACCTGGACGGCAAGGCTTTCCGCTCCGCCGCCCCGGAACTTCCCGGCCGGAGCAGGGCAGAGGCGCCGGCGCCTTTGCCGGGAAATGGTCTCGTTCGGCCGGTCTCCGCCCCTGTCAGCACCAGGCGGGCCGGGCGTCCCCGCTCCGCGCGTCCGCGCGCACCCTAGGTCTCGCGGTTGGTTTCCCGGCGGCCGACGCGGCTCAAGCCAAGGGCGCACGCGCCGCCCGAGTCGCCGCCGCGCTGAAGGAGGCCGCCGCCGGGGGCGGGGCCAGCTGGACGCGCAGGCGCTGCCGGGCCTCAGCAGCTGCGCAGGGCTCTGCGGCCGGGGCGTCCCCGAGTCTTTGCTGGCCTTTTCCCTGGGGCGACTTGGGAGCTTGTTACCAGCAGTCGCTGACCTGCCTGTACCGCCTCGGTGAATCAGGGGCCCAGTCTTCGGGGCTCCCCTGCCTGGATTTCCAGAGTGCGACAGATGACAGATTTAGGCCGGGGGATTCCTGCGGCCCTGCCCCACCCCACCGTGACCAAGAAGGCTGGCCCTGTGGGGAAAGGTGGGCTAGGTGACTCACTGCTGGAGAGGCCTGACCTCCCTGCCCTGGGGGAGCAGACGGCAGGCCCTCTGACCTCAGACTCCGCGACTTCAGATCATGTGCCCCTTCATGTCGGCATGTGGTGCTGTCTGAGAGGATGGCTTTCTAACCTCTTGGAGGATTGTTTTGGGTATTTGTCATCCTTACTAAATTCTTAAGTTGCTCTCTGAGGACCGAATCCTTGAGGTATGGGTTTCTCAAAGTTTTAATTTTATATTCTTAGCAATGTCCCTGAACGTTGTGAGAGCTTAAATAAATTTGTTGAATGGATATGTGCGTCAGTCTTACGTGACCAGGTTTACCCCTGCTGACCGCATTTTTGTCTATTCCAGCTTGCTCATGGAGTTACAGCCGCCCTGGCCTTCTTAGTGTTCCTGGAACCTGTCAAGCTTTTTCCTGTCCATGAGCCTTTGCTGAACTGTGCCCTCTACCAGACATCTCAATCTCCAGCTCCCTGCATAGTTGCTCTGTCTTTGTGGTCTAGCCCAAATATCATTTCAAAGAGGCTTTTCCTGACCACCCAATTTCAAGTTGATCCTCCAGTCACTCAAATTTTTCTGTATTATTGATCAGAAATAATGTTTATTTCCTTGCTTTTTATTTCTCTGAAGACAACAGCCTTCAGAAATAAAAGCACCTTGTCTGTGTCATTCCCCACTAGAGTCATGAGACCTGGGACAGCATAGGGGTTTTATAAATATTTGTCAAATTAATGAATTCTTGTGGGCTGGGGAAACAGCGGTAAAGTTCTGAGGAATGCTAACATTTTGCAAAGGCCAGCAGTCTCCAACTGTTGTCGTTTCTCTCCTTCCACACCATATCTAGGCAACAAAAGGTATCGGAAGCCCATGTGTAGGAAGACCCCCACTCAGTGTGCCCTTGGGTTTTCTATAGGTAGCTTGGGAGCCAGACTAGGTAGTGTCCTTTCTGCCCTTCCCCCCAGCCTTTCTCTTCTCCCTCTTGCCTCCCAGTCACCTGGACAGCTTATGCCATTAGGTCACTATGTTACTGCCTTCCTGCTTAGAGACAGCAAAATACGGTTACTGGACTGCTGGGAGACTCCCAAGACCAGCTTGTGTTTCTAAATCTTGGAGTGATCTTGGACAAGATGATCACCTTTTCTGAGCTATCTTTTTCTTCTTTAAAATCCAAACATTGAACTGTGAATTTCTGAAGGTCCAACCCAGTGATCAATGAATTACTTCTGTTTCCCTCCACTCTCTTTGTGCTATCATTTCCAGTAGTCGGGTGAATTTGTTTTTGTTTTTTTGAGACAGAGTCTCTACTTTGTCACCCTCGGTAGAGTGCTGTGGTGTCACACAGCTCACAACAACCTCTAGCTCTTGGGCTTAGCCCATTCTCTTGCATCAGCCTCCCGAGTAGCTGGGACTATAGGTGCCAGCCACAACACCCAGCTTATTTTTTTGTTGCAATTTGGCCGGGGCGAGGTTTGAACCCGCCACCCTTGGTATATGCGGCTGGTGCCCTACTCACTGAGCCACAGATGCCACCCAGTCAGGTGAATTTTTAAGAACATGATCAGTTCATAACTTGGTACTTACCCATAAATGACAGAACCATATGCAATTTTTTCTTCTATCATCCATTTGGAACATTTCTTCTTTTATTTATACCATTCCTCTAAACTTATTTTTCTAGCTCGGATCATCTGCAAGACAATCCCTCTGAAGCTCAGAACCTGCTGTGGCTGTCTCCTAAACTCAAAATCAGTATTCTGGCCTGCATTTAGTGTGGTCCCTTGAAGGCCCACCTGCCCAGAGCTCATCTTAATTTTATTTTTGGTTAAATGGGGAAATAGACTTATTAACACCAGAAGTCAAAAGAGTCAGAGTTTTTTTTTTTTTTAATTTTGGGGGAAAGTATTGGGGGTTTCCACAAGAGATTCTATCTTCCTATACTCCCTCCACCCCAACCCTAGAATCTTAATCCACCTCCCTATTATTATAACACAATAATTATCCATTTTTTATGTCTTGCAATTCTGTGACTTTTACTCTCTCTAGTTCCTGATTATAGAGAGAAGAAAGGAAGCTGCTAAACAAAGGTACCATATTTCACATCAAAAGTGGAACCTATTTATTCATTTGTGTTGTCTCTTGAAAAAATAATTTTAAAAAAAATTTTTTTTTGTAGAGACAGAGTCTCACTTTATTGCCCTCGGTAAAGTGCCCTGGCATCACACAGCTCACAGCAACCTCCAGCTCTTGGGCTTAGGCGATTCTCTTGCCTCAGCTTCCTGAGTAGCTGTGACTTCAGGTGCCCACCACAATGCCTGGCTATTTTTTTGTTGTAGTTTGGCCGGGGCCGGGTTTGAACCTGCCACCCTCAGTATATGGGGCCGGTGCCCTACCCACTGAGCGCTGCCCCTCTTGTAAAATTTTTAGGGAATCACAAGCCTAGTGGGTCTTCACTCCACATAAGATTTTTACTTCCGTTTTTCTTCCTGCCATTTTTCTCTCTCTCAGTACTACCAACATCATAATTGTGGAAACAACTCCCCAACAATTAAAGCCTCCATGTGTGCACAATAAGGAACAGTCTGCAAGTTATGTGGTCCAGCTGTATACCCATGGTTACGGATCACCAGTTAATGGTATATTTAGTGAGCAGTCACTTTGAACTTTAAAGTGGGGATGTATAAAGGCCCACAAACAGAAGCTGAGCCATTAAAGTCAGCCAAATCATTAGATCTGTTAGTGATAATTTCAGAGAATGAAGATAAAACTCTCCCCAATTAAGAAGTAGTTATCTTCCCAGCCCCTTGAACACTGTACTCCAGGGTTCCTCAACCTCTACACTACTGACATTTGGGACTGGACAGAGTTTTGTTGAGGTCTAGTCCTGGGCATTGTAGCATATTTAGAAGTATCCCTGACCTCTACTCGTTACTCCAGCAGCACCCACCTCAGTCGTGGCAATCAGAAATGTCTCCAACCTCCCCCTCCCCCATAACCAGTTAAATCTGCACTGGTAGATCATATCAGTTCTTTGCAGAATTCTAAAGACATACTTGTTAATTCTTAACAAATCAAGAACAAGAAGTTAAAATGAGGAGCTAATTTAGCCAAAACGTAACTGAAAGTAGAATAATCTAATGATTTGTGGAAAGAAAAAGAAAAGGTGGAATCTAGAAGTACCACTGAAGCAGAAGCACAAAACTCTGTCCATCTCCAGCGTTGTCCAGAGAGAGGGTGCCATGGAGTACTTGAGTTCTCAGGCCAGACAAGGCAGCCTAACCACAAAGACCGGCACTTATGGTGTACAGCCTCAACCTTTAAAAGTCACAATTTCCAGTCTTCCAAGCAGTCTTTTGATTATGAAAATGGTTTCCTTTTTTCACTTATATATAAATAGTTAAGATCTCAGAGCACAGATATCTGGAGAGTGTGGGGTCAGGGAAGAGCAGCAGGAGGAAGTGCTGTCTGGGAAATGCCCAGCATGGGGAATTGGAGCAGGTAAATGGAGATGCTCTCAAGCATGTAGTCAGAGTCAAAAAAGTCTGCCTCAGAATCCCTGGGAATGTTGGCAGGGGCTTCAGGGATGACATTATCAAGTGATATAGAAAGCAATTATAAAGTAGAGTGGTAGGCAAAGGGGAAATAAGACAGAGCCCTGGTTGCTGGGTGGAAGATGACACTCTTGGCTCACAGGTCAAACATGCATGCCTGTGTTTTGTCAGTACAACTGATTTTTCCAAACTTATAACTGCATGAGGGCAGGGGCCAATTGTTATCAGCCCTAGTATGCAAGAAGACATTTAGATATTTTTTGATTGAGGAAAGAAAAACATAGATGGGAGGTTGTTGGATTTGTCCAGGTGTGAGGATCACTAATAATTCATCCTCTTGTCTACTCCATCAACACCGCATCCCCCGTCTTTTCTCCAGCAGTGTAGTTTCCGTATGGAATGGTCCTGAGATGTAAAAGTGATCAAAGTCCTATTGTTTTCTGTTTTTGAAACAGATTACACAGTATACATTTGACAGAGAAAGAGAGAGAGAGAGAGCATGTGTGGGCACCCTGACACACAATGCTTTCACATGTGGCTGGACTCTGCATTAGCTCTCTGCTCATGTTCAAATTAGTTGGGTGTTGTGGTAGGAATCTATAGTCCCAGCTACTAGGGAGACTGAGGCAAGAGGATGGCTTGAGCCCTGGAGATTGAGGTTGCAGTGAGCTAGGCTGAGGCCACAGCACTATTGCCTGGGCAGCAGGTGAGACTCTGTCTCCAAAATAAAGAAAAAGAAAAAAAAAACTGTGTTTTTTTAATGCATGTCCATCTTGCAAGTTACCTGCAATTATTTTCTTTCATTTTTTCTCTTTTTT